CAAATAGTTTTTTTTTAAATGGAGTATTAAATATATTCTCATGAAACTTGGCTATATGGTAAAGCTGACCAATGGTTGGTCTACCTTTTAGGTTAGAAATTATTAAATTAACCAGTTGTAAATTTTATTGCAATAACTTAATCACTTAATCACTTAACTTCCCGTTAGTCGTCGATTTGCTCGAGCAGGCGCCAGTAACGTCTCCATTTGTCCCTGTCGTGTGCTAGTGTAGCCCAATGGCATCTCTTCGCTCCGGGAACATGGAGGGCCTCAAACCGATCGTTCATGATCTTGACAAAGAAGTCTGACCATCTGGTAGGTGGGCGGCCACGCGGTCTCTTGACATCCCGTGGAATCCAATCAGTAACAGCTCTAGTCCAACGGTCGTCTTTAAATCTCATTACGTGACCAGCCCATCTGATTTTCGACACCTTGGCAAATAAGACAGCGTCCCTGATCCTTGATCCTCGACGGATGTCAGAACTCCGGATTCGTTTTCTCATTTGAGTGAAACGTGATATTCCAAGCATAGCTCTTTCTATTCTTCTTTGGGAGACCTGAATAGCGTTCTCATCCTGTTTGCGTAGGGCCCAGGTCTCTGAGGCATATGTTAATGCAGGAAGAACAGTGGAATCAAAGAGATGTGCCCGGAGCCGGAGGTTCTTCGTCCTCTTAGCTATTTCTTCGACCTTCTTGAAGGCATTCCAAGCCGCTCTCTTCCTCCTGCGCAGCTCGGGTGCCAGGTCATTTCTCATGTTGACCTCTCGACCTAGGTACACATAGCTGTTGCATTCGGAGATGGTCGTTCCATTGAGAGCGAATGAGGCGTCAGGAACAAGGCTGTTTCTCATAAACATTGTCTTCGTAAGATTCAGCTGTAGTCCTACCTTTCCACACTCACGGTCAAAGTCGGCCAGCATTTGTGCCGCTTGGCTGATGTTTGGTGTTATTAAAACAATGTCATCAGCAAAGCGGAGGTGGTGTAGTTGCCGACCATCTATCTTCACTCCCATTCCTTCCCATTCCAGTCGTCGCATGATGTTCTCGAGGGTGGCACTGAAGAGTTTTGGTGAAATGGTATCACCCTGCCGCACCCCTCTCTTGACATCAACGATCACTTCTTTGTAGAATGGTGAGATCCTGGTAGTGAATCCGCAATACAGCTCACGGAGGATCCTGATGTATTGGGCTTGAATGCCCTGATTGGCTAGGGCTTCAATGACCGCTTCCGTCTCAACAGAATCAAAGGCCTTCTTTAAATCAATGAACGTTAAGCAGAGCGGCATCTTGAACTCCCGAGAAACCTCAATGAGCTTGGTTATCGTGTGGATATGGTCGATGGTGCTGAATCCTTTGCGGAACCCTGCTTGCTCACATGGTTGTCCTTCATCTAGTGTTCTAGTTGTTCACTCGAGTCATCCTGAATAGGATTGCAATAACAAGGGGGAAAAAATCTTTAAAACTGAAGTTGTGTTAAGTATTGGTCAACACATGTGTGTGTTGAGTATTTAATGTAGAGCTAGTTGGACTTGGTATATGTTGCAAGAATAAATTACTCGGTTTTGAGACAATCCCCTTTAAGGTAAATAAAATATCTCAATTTTCATATTGAATACATGTTGAAATAATATAACTGAAATTAATTTCACCTGTTTTTAATGTGATTATAAGAAAAATTTAAACTATATGTGGATCGTACTTTGTTATTGCTGCTCCATTTATTATTTTAACTAGTATTTTTTCCATCATGCACCTAGTATTAAGATGCGAATTTTTATAAGGTTGAAGTGAAAATTGAGGTCCCAGAAACTCCAAATTTACTCCTTTCAAGGTTTTTAATTTGTAAGTAGCCTTATATTAAGTCCCTTTTCTACCCCTTTTTGCATTTTCGAAGGACTATTGAACTTCATCTTTCCTCCTAATGTGGAGTTTCTCTGATAATGCTGTAAATGGAGCGGATCTCTAACAACTCCCCTCCCCCAATTCCCCTCACCTCCTCACCCCCCCCCCCATACACACACTATCTTGACCTAGGTTCCAGCTTTCTTGTATGTGTTGCTTTGTGAGTTAACCCAGAAACAAAGCACTATTAACTCTTTTTTTGCTTTTTGGGTCACACCTAGCAATGCACAGGGCTTACTCCTGGCTCATGCACTCAGGAATTACTCCTGGTGGTGCTTGGAGGACGTTATGGGATGCTGGGAATGGAACCCGGGTTGGCTGCACGCAAGGCAAACGCCCTACCCGCTTTGCTATTGCTCCAGCCCCAGTACTATTAACTCTTAATTCTCTACCTTTTAGACTTGTGAGTTATTATGTCACATTTATTAAAGGATAACAGAATGTACATATATTGTACTAACATGAAACTTACAACTTTATTTTTTTATGTAGGTAGGCCCATTAAGAGCGATGGCGTAGGGCATTTGCCTTGCATGCAGCTGACCCGGTTTCAGTTCCTCCGTCCCTCTCCTAGAGCCCAGCAAGCTACCGAGAATATTTCGCCTGCAAGGCAGAGCCTGGCAAGCTCCCCGTGGCGTGTTCGATGTGCCAGAAACAGTAACAGGTCTCACAGTGGAGACATTACTGGTGCCCACTCGAGCAAATCGATGAACAACGGGAAGAGATTGTTAGTTACAGGCCCATTAATTATGAGTCAGACTTTTTTTTTATGAGTCAGATCTTAAGAGAAATTTCCATATGCCATGAGGTCTCCATCTGTCCCTCCTAAGTCTATGTCCCAAGTGGTAAGCACTATTTTATCACCATCAAGTCTTATCAGTTCTTCATCCTTGCTTACATAGAACTATACAGTGCAGCCTCAAAGTCTTTTCTGACTTTTGCTTATCTTTTTGATGCTGATACTGCGGTTTGTGTTAAATCATATCCAAGTGTGAATGATATTTGCCGATATCAACTTTTAAAGAATTGGTGAGATTCATTAGTTACAGAATCATTCTTCTTTATTAAATTTGTGTGTGTGTGTGATTTACAATACTGTTACTGGTGACTTCCCATGTACATACTTCCAATGCACCCTACCTGTCATGAACATCTGTGTCTGATGGCCTTTCAGTGTGTCCACCTCCCTCTCCCAAGGACCCTGACACTCTTTGCACTCTTCCACCAACTCAGTTGGTAAATCACTACTTTTGTATTGCCTTAAAGGCCCTTTATTGCTGCCTCACTGTGTGTCTTAAGGTCCCACATATGAGATTATTTTGTATTCCTTTCTCTCTGACTTCACTCAGCATGATACCCTCTAGTTCCATCCGCATTATCGCAAATCGCATGGTTTTGTTCTTAGAGCTGCAGGGTCCTGTTGTGTATATATACTTATCCCATTCATCCATAGTTGGGCATTTGAGTTGTTCCCATGTCTTAGCTGTTGTACTAAGTACAGTGATGAATATGGGTGTGCATATCACTGTATCACTGTCATCCTGCTGTTCATTGATTTCCTCGAGCAGGCACCAGTAACGTCTCCTTCGTCCAAGCCCTGGGATTTTAGAAAGTGCTACGTTCGAGGCTCTTTCAGGGTCAGGAGAATCATATCCAAGTGTGAATGATAACCGGTAACTCATCATTGTTACTGGTTTTTGGCATATTGAATACGCCATGGGGAGTTTGCCAGACGCTGCTGTGTGGCCAGGATACTTTTGGTAGCCTGCCAGGTCCTCCAGAGGAAGAACTAGATAATAAGATGTCGTGCCTTTCCGTGCTTCCTAGAGCTGGGTTTTATAGTCTCTGGGTGTGCATATATTCTTTCAAATTAATGGTTTTGTTTTGAAGATAAATGCCAAGAAGTGGTACCACCAGTTCATGTAGGAGATCTATTCCTATGTTTTGGAGCAATCTCTGTATTCCTTTCTATTAAGGCTGAACTGGTCAACATTTGCACCAACACCGGATGAGGGTTCCTTTCTCACATGACTCCACAGACATTGGCTATTTCCAGACTTTTGGATGTGTGGGCCATTCTCTCTGGCATGTGATATTTCATTGTTATTTGGATTTGCATTTCCCTAATCATAAATGATGGTGAGCACTTTTTCATATACCCAGTGGCTATACGGAACATTTTTTAAAAAATACTGTATAGTACTGTGATATGTATATACACTCTGTCCCTTATCCTGCGGGTGGATATTTAAGTTTTGGGTTTTTTGCTTTTTGAATCAACTGCTATAAACTCTCTTCATCGTGTTATGGTGTGTCTGTTCATTCATATCCTCAAGTGGAATTGCTGAGTCATAGAGCATGTGAATGTTTAGATTTAGTAGAAATTGTCAGTTTTTTTTTTTAAGTGACTACCATTTTTACTTCTGTCAGCAGAGTAAGATAGTTCGAGTATCTGGCTTTTCTGATGCTCATCAGTCTTTTCAGTTTGAGCTACCCATTGGTATATAATTGCATTATTCTAGATTTTAGTTTTTTTTAATGAAACTTTTTAGTTTCATTTTTCTTTAATTTTATTTAATCTTGTTAACCATTTTAATGGTACTTGTGCACAGAATGGCACTCACCGCGTGCGAGTAATCTTTATATGTGAGTCAGCTTTAAAGTTTTATTCTTTTTCACACTTGTGTTCTCTGTAATGTGTGCTTCAGGTTTTGGGGGTTTTTTTCTTTCTAAACTGGAGATGATCTGGATGAATATAAATACAATGAATTTTAGGTTGAGACTCTGGTTATCTTCAAACACAAGTACATAAGAATTTTTTTTTTAATGGGACAAGAAAATTATTCAGTAGATCTATTCTGATTTATTCTTTCCTATTTTCAGTTAAAAAGAAATTTGAACCAAGAGCATTATGTATCCATTCAATAACTATATATTGAGTACTTTGCCTCTATTAGATGTATTTTAGTAGGCTTTAGAGAATAATGAACAAACTGACAAAAGTTTGCCCTCTTAAAATATATTCAGGTAGGAGAAATTCATAATAAGTAAGCAATTAACTCAATGAGATAATAAGTGTAATATTTCCTGTTTTGCAGAAATGGAGCAAGAGCCACAAAATGAGGAGCCTGCTGAAATTAAAACCATCAAGGAAGCATACAAGAAGGCCTTCGTATTTGTTAATAAAGGACTGAATACAGATGAATTAGGCCAGAAGGAAGAAGCAAAAAACTACTACAAGCAAGGAATAGGACACCTGCTCAGAGGAATCAGTGTTTCCTCGGCAGAGCCCGAACACACAGGCCCTGAGTGGGAGTCTGCTAGACAGATGCAGCAGAAAATGAAAGAAACACTCCAGAACGTACGTGCCAGGTTGGAAATTCTAGAGAAGGGTCTTGCCACTTCTCTGCGGAACGATCTTCAGGAGGTGCCCAAGTTATATCCAGAGTTTCCACCGAAAGACGTACCAGAAAAGTCGCCAGATCCGGAGTCCTTTACTTCATCTTCACAACACACAGGGGTAAATGGAGGCACTTCAAATCCAGGGCCAGTTCTTGCACCCAGTTCCCTGCCCTTGCCGTCTCAGAATCAAGGTCATCCAGCAGAGGCACCTCCTGCCTATACTCCGCAGGCTGCCGAGGGTCACTACACAGTATCCTATGGAACGGAGTCTGGGGAAGTTTCTTCAGTTGGAGAAGACTTTTATAGGAATCATTCTCAGCCCCCACCTCTCGAGTCCCTGGGGCTAGATGCAGATGAGTTGATTTTGATACCAAATGGAGTACAGATATTTTTTGTAAATCCTGCAGGAGAAGTTAGTGCACCGTCATATCCTGGATACCTTCGAATTGTCAGGTTCTTGGATAATTCTCTTGATACGGTTCTGAATCGTCCTCCTGGATTTCTTCAGGTAAGTTAAAGAAAAATACAACTTGAAATCTATATCGAATTGATTTTTGTTTCTTTATGATGTGTATGATTTAAATATAGAATTATCATAAATTTGAGTTTCTTATAAAATATATCCCATGATATTGATGGTCCTTGAAAATCTGCCTTTGATAACCTTTCTTTCTTTTTTTTTTTTTTTCTGCTTTTTGGGTCACACCCGGCGATGCACAGGGGTTACTCCTGGCTCTGTACACAGGAATTACTCCTGGCAGTGCTCAGGGGCCATATGGGATGCTGGGAATCGAACCTGGGTCGGTCCCGTGCAAGGCAAATGCCCTACCCGCTGTGCTATCTCTCCAGCCCCTCTTTTTCTTTTTTTAAGATAAAATCTTGTCAGACCACACTACTGGCATAAGCATCACTGAGAGTTAAACTACCACTGACTGGACCCCCGAGTTTCTAGCTTGCTGGAAGTAGGCCCCTATTCAAAACAGACAAACAAAAAATATATGTATACATATAAGTGATAGCACAGCAGGCAGGGCGTTTGCCTTGCAAGAGGCTGACACAGGCTGATCCCAGTTCAATTCCTCCGCCCCTCTCTGAGAGCCCGCCAAGCTACTGAGAGTATGGCGCCCGCACAGCAGAGCCTGGCAAGCTACCCGTGATGTATTCAATATGCCAAAAACAGTAACAACAACTCTCACAATAGAGACGTTACTGGTGCTCACTTGAGCCAATCGATGAACAGTGGGAGGACAGTGCTACAGTGCTACGTACGTGTGTGTGTGTGTGTGTGTGTGTGTGTGTAAAAAAAAATATATATATATATATATATAGGATCTTTGTATTACTAAGTTTGAGATGATAGGACCTAAGGGTATGGAGTATTCTTAATTTTTAAATCATTTTTCTAAAAACTCCTAACACCTTTAATTTCAGAAGGTATTTTTGTAACTCACAAAACATGTCCCAAGTGTGTGAGTTACAATATGTAACAGCTCTGTGGATGTATAATTGTAATTGTCCCTGAAAAACTGACCTGGATGCTCCCAGTGCCTAGTTGTCACAACTAATGGCCGCCTGTTTTTAAAATACTAGACTGTCAGGGGCCAGAGCAACAGTGTAGCAGGTTGGGTGCTTGCCTTGTGTTTGCGCAACTGACCCACATTATATCCCCAGCACCACGCAGGGTTGCCCGAAGCCCACCACGAGTTGAGTGCAGAGCCATAAACCCCGAGAACCACCTGGTGTGCCTCCCAAAAACAAAACGAAAATGTCCCCACTTACGGAATGTTTTTATTCCAAAGTGCAAAGATAACTGAATACTGAGATTCGGTGCCATTTCCATTTCCATTTATTTTAAAGTAGGATATTGGGCTACATCCCTCAATGCTCAGGAACTATTCCCGGTTCTACTTTCTGATGTGATTCCTGAGAGTGCTCAGGGCACCTTTTGTGGTGTGGGGGATCAAACTTGAGCCTGCAGCATGCAAGACAAGTGCCTTATTTTCTGTCCTCTGCTAGAAATTAGAATTTGTTTTGCAGTGGTTATTGGTGGTGGCTTTGGTGTTTGGGCCACACCTGGCAGCGCAGCTCCTGGCTCCATGCTCAGGGTTAGTCCTGGCAGTGCAAGATAGTGAACGAGGATCCACTACTTGCAATGCAAGTGCCTTAACACCCAGACTATAATCTCTTTGGCCCATAATTTCTTATGTTATTAAAATGACTATTGGTCTTCTTAGGAAATTAGAGTAAGATCGCATGGTATTAAGTAGACAGGGAGCTTCCAAGAACTATTTTTTTTTGCAGTAATTTAAGGGTGGGGGAGGGCCCTCTCTCTGTTGATTCTGAGCTAATTGGGTCTACTACAGTTCAGCACAAGGGCCTGAGGCTGTGCAGTGCTGCTTGGGCTTCAGCCCTGCTTGGAGACATCCAGAAGGGTTCAGGGAACCATGTGGTACCAGTAATTGATCCAGCATCGGTCACTTGCAAGGCATATGCTTTCATCCCTATACTCTCTCTTTTACTTTATTATAAATGTTAAAGAATATTACTTTAAATTGCATCAATCTGTAACGGCTTATACAGTCCTCGGATGACTTTACGTGGTAAATGAACTCTCCAGTGTGTAAGAACGGGTCTGCAAAGTTTGTTTGCGGCATTTTGTATTCTGTTTTTGTTTTGGGGCCACACCCAGCAGTGCTCAGGGTTTAGTCCTGGTTTTGCACTCAGGAATCACTCCTGACAGGCTCTGGGAATGGAATCTGTGGGATGCTGGGGAAGGCTAGCACCCACACTGTCCAATTGTCACTCTCGTCCTGGGTCTACAGAGTTTTGTTGGCGAACATTTGAGATGCACCAGCTCTGTCTGTCGAGGTGTTGGTCATTTTGACGATGTAATTAATTGTATTGAATTCATGGCATTGTGTAAGAGGCCTTTCTTAGGGGCTGGAGAGATACAGCAGGCAAGGTGCTGCATTGTATGGGACTGATAAGGTTCAGTTCCTGTACACCAGACACCCGACCCCGCCACCCTCAGCCTGACAGGAGTCATCCCTCTGCAGAGCCAGGAAGTAAGCCCTGTTCACACAGGTGTGACCTCAAAGCAAAATAAACAAATTAAAAAAATACGAAAAAAGAAACCTTCCATAAACTGGTTATCAAAGCATAATCTTTAAGATTTTTTTCAAAAATCTATACCCGATTTAATGTTTTTATTTGAATGTTTTGTGAATTTCATCCTAAATAATTTACAAATGAAATTGAGAGAAAGACGTTTCATTCTTTAATATTTTTAGTATTAAACATAAATTTTAATACCAAACATTTTAGTTTAGTACTACAGAGTCTATAGTAAAGGAGCCTGTGCTGCAAATGGCCCTTTGAGTGGCCCTTGAGCACAAAACCAGGAGTCAGCCCTGGGTGTGATCAAAAAAAAAATAGCAACAAGTAATAACATAACTACCAGTTTAAATAATTTGTATAGCTGTTTCATAGACCACAGTTACAACTCATGCTTTGTAAGTTTTTAATGAAAGATGGAGATGAAATTGGCCATTCAAGTTTTTTTTTATATGGGGAAGATAGGTATCCTGCGAGAGGGACTCTATGAAATTCTGATCTCTCGAAGTATGTATCTCAGTGGAAAGAATGTAGTTGAATATTGATTTATACTTGGAGCCTTTCATGTTAACTCTCTATGATAGTGTAAGTCCTAATGTACTATTGTTCATTCCCCAGATTTGTTTCAGGACAGCTTTGTCATTTTTATTTAACTTCATATGTCCGTAAACATAATATTCAATTTTAACTCTGTCATTTCAGTTCTCTCAGATTTAATACAAAAAATTATTCAGTGTTCTAAGTAATGTGTTTGTGATAAAAAAAAAAAAATTGTTGGACTTTGGGGCCAGGGAAATAGTCTGCCTACCTCAGTTTTATCTTCAGCACCGCTTAGTCCCTTGAGTACCACAAGGGGTCACTCCTCAGCACCATGATGTGGCCTCTCCCCTCACCCCTTCCACCCCAAATTATTGCATTTCTCTGCCACAAGACGACTTGTGCCAAAATCCTCCCTCCACTCTTTAGTTACACTGACTCAGTGCAATGTCTTGTTTGTTTGGGTGTACACCCTGCGATACTTGGGGTTACTTTTGGCTCTGTACTCAGGAACCACACTTTGTCAGTGCTGGGGGACCATATGGGAGGGCAGGGATCGAGCCCCGTGCAAATCAAGTGCCCTACATGCGGTTCTCTCTCTCCAGCGCCAGTACGACTTCTATTGTATTTTTCTTGTATACAAAATAATAATTAACTAAATAGCCTCATGGGAATGTTGTGAGGAGCATATCAATAAATACACGTAGAGTACTTAAAAATTATCTCCACAAAATGATGTCCAACTTGAATAATCGAATGTTATTTATTATGGCCGTTATATATTTGCTAGACTCATTATTGTACATATATAAAGCCTGGCTTTAAGATTTTATTAGTGGACGAGGGAAGGGGGAGTTGTAATAGTAGACTAACTCTTTTGTTTGGGGGGCCATACATCCTGGTAGTGTGCAGAACTTACCCTTGACTCTGAGCTCCTGAATCACTCCTGGCATTGATCAGGGGACGGACCATATGTGGTGCCAAGGATCAAACCCGGGTTGGCTGCATGCAGGACAAGTGCCCTACTCACTGTACTCTGGCCCCTAATGGTTTTTTAGAATGGCTTTTGTGGTTTGTAAGATCAGACTTGCAAGTGGCTCATATATCATGGGATATTTGTTAAAGCTGGTTGTTCTATGTATAAAATGAGTTCTGTCAAGACGTGAAGCTTGTGTGGAGACCTTCATTTTTCTAAAAGAAACAAACTTACCCTTTCAGGTTTGTGACTGGCTGTACCCCCTCGTTCCTGATAGATCTCCAGTTCTTAAATGTACTGTAGGCGCCTACATGTTTCCTGACACAATGTTACAAGCAGCGGGCTGTTTTGTGGGGGTTGTATTGTCTTCTGAATTACCTGAAGATGAACGAGAACTCTTCGAGGATCTTTTACGACAAATGTCTGACCTTCGACTCCAGGTAATTTGTGTGATTATGAATGAAAATGGCTTGACATAAGCTCTTAAATTCTAAACTGTAATGTAATCAAAATTAGGAGACATTAAATGATTAAAAACGAATAAGTTGTACGTTTACAAATACAGATTGTGAGGTAACTAAATACTCAGATTGTGGGGTTTGGAATCAGATTGCTTAAATTTTTATTCAAGCTCTTGAAGTTTTGATCATCTCTATTTTAATTTTCTTATAAACGGGGACAGTACATCTGCTTTATTCCATTGTGATGAAAATGTTGTATCGCTAATAGCTTAGTTCTTTGTCAGTTGGTGAAGTGAACTCCCAAGGACTAAATGGTGAGGTCAGGATAGTTTTAGCATTATCAGATGTTACGCTAGGCATTTTAAGTTATGGATATGATTGGCATTTTGTGGAAAGAACTGATTTTTGTATGCAGGAAGTATCTTCATTATCCGGGTACATGGAAGACAAGTAAAAACACCATAGTGTAATTTTTATTTTTTGTTTTTGGACCACAGGTTTACTCCTGACTCTGCACTCTAATCCACTCTTGATGGGACTTAAGGGGACCATATTGGGTGCCGCGTATCAAACCATGGTTAGCTGTGTGCAAGACAAGCACCCTCCCCACTGATCATTCTGGCCTCAAGAGTGTGATTTTAACATACATTGGTTATGCTGTGAACTTTTTTGGGGTGAGGTCGGACTTTTTGGGTCACACCCAGTGATGCACTGAGATGGCTTTGCAATCAGGATCTACTCCTGGCAGTGCTCAGGGGACCATATGGGACCCCCAGGTCAGCCGTGTGCAAGGCAAATGCCCTACCTGCTGTACTGTGCTCTGACCCCTGCTGTGAACTTTCATAGCCCGTTTCCTCCATCCACGTACATAAATGTTCTAGAGAGTTGGAATTGAGCTTTACAAAGATGCCTCTTTAGGTGTTCTTGCTCATCCTGATGTGTGCCAAGAGGGGAAGATAACTTCGATTGTGAATATTGAGAGTTTTCTGCATTTGAAGGAGATTGATAGCACGATTATCTTTTATCTCCTTCACGTAGCAAATATTTGCCATCTATTATTGCACTTCAGGCACTATATTAAATGGTGGGGTGGAAAGTGAGACACGAGACTGGAGATTATGTGTAACTGTTATCCTCAGAATTGTCACTATATATTCTTAAAGTTTGTATAGCACAGAAACAGTATTGTAGATGATAAAAAAAGTACATTCAGAATGCAGGAAGAGGAGGCCAGTATTTAACATAATACTTTTCTTTGACTTAAGTTTTGAGAGATTTGTTTCTGTTTTCTCAGGAAATAATATGGATTTTCATTTTATTCCTTTGTAAAAAAGCTCATGATGGATCAGGTTACCTGCCATGTTGTGGGTCAGAGAGATAGCGCAACATTAGTTGTATAAACACTGTTTATGGGAATGATCTGATGATTAATAGATACTTAGGCACAGTTGATGCTAAAACTTAACAGTAACCATATACACAAACTCCATGCAGAAATAAATCTAGACTCAGTGTGCTCATGAAAAAGAGGTTAAAAAGGCAGAAACATAGTCCAGTGGATATGGATTCCAAGGTAGCTTTGTAGCTTACTAGATAAAGTGATGTTTTAAGTATTCCAGACATATTCTGTAGTTGTCTTTTTCTTCGTTCTTCACATCATCAGACCTGGATCACTGGGATTTAGGAAAGAAAGACTGAATGAAGAGAAAAAATAAATTAGAATTTTAGGTTGTGCATTCTTTGCTCTGTTTTTATTTTTATTAAATATTTTCTTTGCTTTTAGTCATAGAACTCTGTAAAGTCACAGGCTATAATTTTTCCTTGTCTTTGCTCTTATTCATTCAGTAAAATATACTAGCACATTAACTTTAATATTAAGTACAGAACAACCTAAAAACAAAATTTACTCTTCCAGTAGTGTTCAGTAGTAAAACTGGACATGTTTCTCTTAAACACATTTAGTCTTGTGTGTCTTAAAACTCATTTAGTTAAATTCAGATATATAGGTATTTGACCTAGCAAACTCTTATACCAATAATTGCCTTGAATTTATCTTTTAGACTTTGTTGTTTGAAATTAGTGCTAGGCCATGTGCTCTGAACCAATGAACTTGAAGGTTTGTGGTTTGATGAAAAAAATGAAAGTATAGGGGAAAGTCAAGCAGAAATAGTTTTATAGACTGTCAGGCATATTTGAGCATGGATATTATTAAAATATGATATGCCATAGCTTGGATAAAAATGATATGAGGAAATGTGGTTTTGAGTTAAGCTAAGTCCTGTACTGCCCTAGACCAACTGGAATTGGGCAGAAGGAGAAAATGAATTCCAAATACCTGGAAGATCAACACGTTCCACTAACCAAGTGAAGGAACCCAGTGACACTGATGTGAGACAGTTGGGTCCTGCGTCAGATCAAAGCAATAAGGATGCACGTAAAGGGAAACGTGGAAAAAAGGTAAGTAAAGTAAAAGGGCAATAAGTCATTCTGTTCTAAAGATCAGTTTCACCAGTTTAAGTTATTTATAAGATCTTGCACTTATTTACTAAAACAAAGTAACTTTCAGAGTCACACAGTATTCATTGGTAAACATTAGCTTTAATATTTCTCTTTCTAAATATTTGTTACATAAATCTATTTAAAGGATACTATTTGAAGAGTTCAATTTTTTTTTGGTGTGCATTTTATATTCTACACCAAGACCTTGGGGTTATATATGCTACTATCTCTTACTACACTGTTTTAAAAAATTCAGTTTCTTATTTCTTCATTGGTCCAAAGAAAAGAGTTCGTAAAATTATTTTTAGTAACTTTTGTAATTTTCTTGGATTTTGATTAGATAAGTTGTAAATGGTAAATTTGGATTAGAACTGGTAAATATGTGTGAGTGCTACTATATCTACATAGAAAGTTAAAATTTCTTATCTGAATGAATTTATTGTTCAATGGGTAGGATAAAATTTTTCTGGTGTGATCATGAGATGAAGGTAAATAGATTGTATGCCCTCCTAAAAACCTATCTTGACAATTAAGTGTGTATGAGTGGGAAATTGTTAAGGACACTTTTTTAAAAAGGCATTTTGGCTAAAATAAATCCAAAGGATAAAGAGAGTGGAGGGGGATTCTAAGCAGAAGTAGTAGTACTATAAGCAAATATAATACTGTGTGGTAATAGCAAATGCTTGAAGAAAGAAAATACCATTGTATATCAAATCACACAATTTGGCTTTGGTTATTGTTGTATCCTATGTGGTGAGTGCTCACTTTTCTTTGGAATTTATAAATATCATGTGAATATTCATATTTACTTATATAAGTGTTACTGTGGTTTATATTGAACCTCTTAGATTAGTTTTATAAGGATGTTGTTAGTATAAAATAGTTCCAAAAATGTATTTTTTAAGTGCAAGATAAGATAAACCAAATTCAAAAATTCTATAAAAACTGAATTTTTTACAATTATTATTGTTTTTATTGTGTGAGTCTATCAGAGCTTCTTGAATAAATTTTTGTGATTTTTTTTATAGTAGGTGTTAAGATTCTAAATCATAGTTATGCACAGTGCTTCAATGAATAATTTTATAGGTAATTTATGAGGTAAATTCTTAGAAGTTAGATTACTAAATTAAATGATAAATGTGTTTATCACTTGATAGTATTCTGTATTATCCTCTCCAAGGGTTTTACTATTCAGCTGTCTCAGCAGTATGTGAAGAGAGTTTCCTCAGGGCCTGGTAAGCAGAATGATGGTTAGCCCTTCTGTAATTTGGCAGTATGTGATATATATTCGATAGTATATTAGATATCTTAACTTGCACTGTCAGTAGAACAATGTTGAGCATGTACTTAAGGGTTCCTTGGATTTTGTTTTCGGTGTATCACTTTAATTTTTATTACTAAATGTCTAGCCCTACTTCTTAATTTCTCAGAACTGTATATTAGTATCATTAGCCATCATTGTCCAAGATATGATTGCAAATGTTTTGGTTTGTCTTATGAGTGACTTTCACTCCATGTAGAAGTTTTGTTTTATGGTCTGCTAGAAACTTTGGTTTTCTCAGTTTTTATTCTTTCAAATATTAAGATGATAGTCTGCTTTAAATATTAAGTTTAGCTTTTAAGATTTTGAGTGTTGAGCCTGTTTTTCATATTTAATTTTCAAAGCACAGTTATTTCTATGTTCCAAATTGTCATTCCATTGAAAAGGTAAATTGTTTGTGTTTATATTTTTTACTTAATTTCTATGAAAATCAGTTTATTTAGATAAAGCCTTTCAGTTGAATCATTTAATGGAAATCTTTTAACCTTTCTGATATATATATTTTTTACTTTTGAATTTTATTTGATTTTTATAGTTGGGCTGGAGCGATAGCATAGCAGGTAGCGTGTTTGCCTTGCATGGGTTTGATTCCTCTGTCCCTCTTGGAAAGCCCGGCAAGCTACCGAGAGTATCCCGACTGCACAGCAGAGACTGACAAGCTCCCTGTAGCGTATTCCATATGCCAAAAACAGTAACAACTAGTCTCACAACGGAGACGTTACTGGTGCCCGCTCGAGCAAATCGATGAACACTGGGAAGACAGTACTACAGTGCTTTTATAAAGTTGTTCACAATAATTAATTACATTTAATTTTTGAACACCAATCCCACCATCATATTTCAAATGTTTTCATCCCAAACCCTGTCCCCAAAGCAAAACCGAAGTAGTTTATTTTGTATTGCTTCTTATGAATAATCTGCTAAAAATGATTCAAGAAAAGTTTTCTTAGGAAAGTGTGTGAAGATTTTTGTATTTCACCCAAGAATCATTAAGCATTAAGACCTTCAGTAAGAGATTGCTAACATGTTGTTAAAAGTTGAGCCTTGGGTGTTACATTTATCTGTGTGTATGTATATATGTGTGTGTATACATATGTAGGTGTAAATATATACATATAAACATATACATATATGCATATTTCCCCCTTAGATTGGCTGCCTTCTACTTTAAATCCTATCAAACGTGGTGTGCTGTGCTTTGTGTATCAGTGGTATAAAGTATGGGATGTCACGCAGCTGCAATTGCGACCACGCACGCCAGCAATTCTAAGATTTAAAATATGGTTATACAGTAGATTCACTCATGGGTGAGGCTCATCTGAGCGTGTGGAGAGTGACTGTGACCATGGCAGCGATGACCAAGTTCTGGAGGTTTTCAGCTGCCGGGGCTCCGTTGGGGCAGGGAGGGCAACTCACCCAGCCGCCTCCAGATTCCCCCGATGAGACAACCTGGTTTGGGTTCTGGAGGCATCTCTATGGTGTATTCAGTATTTTCATCAACTATATCTAGTACTTGTTGACAGTATTGTATTTGTTACTTGGTATCATATAATGTTTATGTTCCTCACCCTTCACTAATTCATACTTTGGAACACTTTTATAATATAGACTAAAGGTACTTCAAATGAAGAAATTAATCTAAGCCACATTGTACCCTATGAACCCGTTTCAGAAGAAAGAGCAAAAGAATTGCCTGAATGGAGTGAAAAAGTGGCTCAAAACATTTTGTCAGGTAATCCTATCAATTGTATTAACTTCCTATTACAATATGAAACCTTTGGATTCCATAAGGAATGCATAAAAATATATATTTTTAAATAATGATTTTATAAGTACTTAAAATTGTGTAGTTTCATAGTTTCTTATCACATAATGCCATATAGTAGGTTTTTCTTTATCTTTTTTTTTTTGCTTTTTTTGGGGGTCACACCCAGCAATGCTCAGGAGTTATTCCTGGCTCTGCACTCAGGAATTACTCCTGGGTGCTTGGAGGACCAAATGGGATGCCGAGGATCAAACCCAGGTCGGCCGTGTGCAAGGCAAACGCCCTACCTGCTGTGCTATTGCTCCGGCCCCCGGTTTTTCTTTATCTTTATTCTGTTTTATTTATGTTAAACTGACAAGCCATAAGCTAGTCTAACTCTTAATATGGTGGCTCTGGGTTCAAGAATGACAGCCTCGCAAACAGGCAAAAGCTGCATAGTTCTTTCTAGCATATACCTGGAAATTTCCAGCATCCTTTATGATGAACAGATAAACGGTGCTTCCCAGATGCAAGGCAATAAGAAAAAGACCCTATTAAGGAAGGAACACCAAGTATATATTGAGTGACTAACATGTAGTAAACCTGTTCTGGCCATTTTGAAAATACCAACCACCTCAAAGTCTTAGACCTCCTAGGTACATAGCCTCAAGATTTCCAAAGAACAAATTCTCTGGGGTATATCATTTTAAAGTGTGCCTGAGCCATATACTGGTGACTCTTTAAGGGCCCAATCTACTCCCTAAGTCTTCAGTGTCTTCATGCTGGTACCTTTTCCACTTCATTATGTTTCTTCAAGCTTACAGGTCTAGTAATAGCCACAACAGACTGGTAACGTTAAAGCCACTTAACTGACAGTGAGAGTTTTTCTCCTTACGTGCTTTTCTAAGTGGGTGCTGTGAGAAACAAGTAGTTCAATAAATAAAGTACAAATAACAAAGGCACAGGAATTATGTAAGATTTACTACAGAGAAAATGATCTAACCTTTCTGTCACGGAGCACTGTTTCTATCTGACTCATACAGACTTTTTATAAAGATGAGTAACCAGGTATCTAAATCACACTCGTTAGCTTTAGCAATGACTCATTCCTGTTCGCTCTCAAAGAATGGGTAAATGTCAATAAACGCTAAACGTTTTATGAAGGTAAAAAGTCTAAATGTCTAAAACATTGACTTGACATATGTAGACTTTTTTTCTGGATTCAGGCTCACTTAGGACTTGAAATAATGGTGTAAAAATCATGCCACAGACCTTGGAGAAGACCCCGTGCTTAAGATTTTCTATGTCTGGGGGCTGGAGTGATAGTACAGAAGGTAGAGTGCTTGCCTTGCTTGTGGCTGACCCGGGTTTGATCCGCAGCACGACATAATGATGATTGAGCACAGAGCCAAGAGTAAGCCCTGCACATTGCCGGGCGTGGTGCCCAAACCAAAAAAAAATTTTTTTAAATGAAAATGAGTATTTTGTTTGTCCAGCTTTAAGACACAGTAACAACAAAGTCTCCAATGGAGACGTTACTGGGCCCGCTCGAGCAAATCGACGATCAACGGGAGGGCCTTTACCTTACCTTAAGAGCATTCCTTAGTGTTGAGAAAAAGGAAGTACTGTAAATTGTAAGCTCTTTCTAGGAAGTTTTGGTATCTCCTTTCCTTAGGGAAACCATCGTCCTTTATGTATCTTTTCAGTCTTCCCACTCTTACCCACATTCTTCCTAGCTCAGAGCTTTTTCACTGAAGAAGTCCCTGCCATCCTGTCTACTGTTTGATGATCCTGCCTTTCATTCACGTGTCAGGAAGCCATGAGGAAAGTCAAAGGCCTAGGGCTTATTCCTAAGAAATGGCTACACCATCTAAATTTCTGAATCTTCATCTCAGATTATTTCTTCCTGCATAGTCTTTGGATAGTCTTATGCCTCTGTCATTTAGGTTTATATCCGAGCTAAAACAGGTGCTGAGATCAGAGGGTTTGGATTTGGTATTGATGAGGAATAGGAACCCCTAATACACATTACCCTAAACCAGTGTTTCCCAGAGTGTATGATACAGACCCCGAAGTCCCCTGGAGTGATTTGGGAGTGGGGGTGGGTTCAGTAATAGAGTTTGGTGGAATTAGGGAATGTTTTCTGTTTGTTCATTCTAAAAAGTAGGTCACCATGGGGGCAATGAATAATTTTTTTTTTCTGAAAAGCAAGTGGTAGTTTGGGGACCTCTGGAGACCAAGTTCTGCCTTGATGTTTGAGACACTTTCATTGAATTCTAGTTGAGAAAAAAATATGTGGACTAAGATAAAAAGAATAAGAATACTTCATGCTTATAGCTAAGTACCATATGAGACTCTAATTCTAATACTTAGAATTAGAATCTCACAATAGTAAGTAGTGCACAGTCACCTACAATTGTAATGACAACTTAAAGTGCTAACAGAACTTTGTTAATAAGTATTATAAAGTGAATTTATATAGAAGAGGCAATACATTCCATTAAAAGGCTGTTTGATTTGTTATATTTGAAAGTTTTACAATATATTGAACTTTCTGCTTTTCTTGTTTTCTTGTTATGTTTAAAGGAATGAAAAACTGAATATGTGCAATTTTAAATTTTTCTTTGAAAAAGGTGCTTCCTGGGTAAGTTGGGGTTTAGTCAAAGGCGCTGAGTTTACTGGCAAAGCAATCCAGAAAGGTGCTTCTAAACTCCGAGAACGGATTCAACCAGAAGAAAAACCTGTGGAAGTTAGTCCAGCTGTGACCAAGGGACTTCACATAGCTAAGCAGGCTACGGGAGGCGCAGCGAAAGTCAGTCAGTTCCTGGGTAAAGTGATTTTTGATGACTTCACTTTTTCGTTAAATTTAAAAGATCTCTTAATCGAAATGAATCCAAGTGCCCATTTAAATGGTTTAGCTTCAGTAAAGAATTAGGGAAAAAAATTCACTCTCATAACTCAGTTGTGGGATCTGCAGGCCAGCTGCAACAGCCTGTTAAGTGCCCTCTGATGAGAATTTCAAGGATTTGTCACGCCTGATCAGAATCTGCATTTTCTCCAAAATCTCTGGATAGTTCTCACTTACTTATTAACATTCAGTAAGCCTGGTTAAAGAGTTGTGTTTTGGTTCTGAAGACAGAACTATTGTTTATGCCTTTAAAAAGGAGTGGTTCAGAATGTATTTGCTATCCTGGCCTGTGACTGTTGTAAGGACAGCTCACTGCATAGAAATTGAAGGCAGATGGCTGGATCACTCTTTTAATAGAGATGATATATTGATTGTTCTCAACTCTCTGGAGACCACAGGTATAGAGGTTAGCTCATTCATGGATTACTAATCTTATTTTAAGGAATCTAGTATTCTTTGGAATAAGTGATTACTTGGGAGCAGGGTGGGGGAAGGGTGGCTTCCTTGTAGCAGCCAGAAAACCAGCTTGACAAATTCCAAAAGAGCTGTAACACTAGCCTTTGATTACTTTTATTGAATCAGGCAGTGTCCCTTCTAGCAAGAAGTAAGGCATAGCAAGGTTTTTCTAAAAACTAAAATAATGTCCCAACCTCTCCATTTTTTTAAAACCTAGGTTTAAATTCCTTAACGCTGTTTTAGTGAATTATTTGCTGACAAAGAGAAAAAATACAAATACTTTTGCTGAAACTTCAACCTACTCATATTCCATTGTAGCAAGCAGCTAGGAAAGGTGAATGTTTTCTTTCTTAAGCAAAATTACAAGGAAAAACAATGTATCTAAGAGGCAGGGCTATAAATATCCATAACATCAGCAAACTTGTCTTTAAACCAAACAATACTTTTTGTTTTCGTTTTTTTCTGTGCAGACTTCCGTATGTACCTGAGTTATATATTTTTTTCAAAATGGATTTTATTTAAATAAAACAAATCTTGAAACCACCCTTATATAGGAATGGCAACATCATGCAATAAAACAAATTAATATGCTCATCTAAGAATTTTAGTAAGAAATATTTCTAAAGATCAAGTAAAGAATAAACTTTTTCCTTATTCCCCCCCCCCCCTTTGGTGATATTAGTTGATGGAGTTTGCTCTGTAGCAAATTGTGTTGGAAAGGAATTAGCCCCACATGTCAAGAAGCACGGAAGCAAGCTTGTTCCAGAATCTCTTAAAAAAGACAAAACTGGGAAGTCTGCTCTGGATGGCGCTATGGTTGTGGCTGCAAGTAGTGTTCAAGGTAATAGAAATATCCAGAAAGCTAACTAGTAAGGTTTTAATTTAGTGTGCACTTTTAATCATTTTTAATATATTTGCAGGATTTTCAACTGTCTGGCAAGGATTGGAATGTGCAGCTAAATGCATTGTGAACAATGTTTCAGCAGAAACTGTACAAACTGTCAGATACAAGTAAGTTTAGTCTTACCACTTTATAGCCGGTAAAAATCTAGGTCAAGTAAATGATTATGCAGTTACTCTTATCTATCTGGAAAACAATTTTTTTTATTTAGATCAGTTATTTTATTTTTATTATTTTTTTATTTTTTATTTATTGATTTTTTAAAATTTTTATTAGTGAAACACCATGAGGTAGAGTTGTAGACTTAAAAAATTTTTGTGCTTGGATTTCAATTATACAGTGATCAAATACCCGTCCCTCTACCAGTGCCCATCTTCCACCACCAAGATTTCAGTAGCCATCCCACCCCCCCATCCCCCCATCCCACCCTGCCTCTGTGGCAGGGCATTCCCTTTTGTTCTCTCTCTCCTTTTGGGTGCTGTGGTTTGCAAAAGAGGCATTGAGTGACAGTCATGTTTGGTTTATAGTCTACTTTCAGCATGCTTCTCCCATCCTGGGAGGATCCTGCCAACACCCTTTATTTGGTGCTCCCTTCTCTATCTGAGCTGACTTTTCCTCTAGCATATGTGGCTGGCCTCCAAGCCATGGAGTAAACCTCCTGGTACTAATGTTGGCCACTCTTGGGTGTTAGTCTCCTATTTTGTTACTTTATGTTCCCCAGATGAATGCAGTATTTCTATGTCTACCCCTCTCTTTCTGACTCATTTCGCTTAGCATGATACTTTCCATGTAGTACCACTTGTATGTAAATTTCATGACTTCAAGATTTTTCTAACAGCTACATAGTACTCCATTGTGTAGATGTTCCAAAGTTGATTTAACCAGTCATCTGTTCTCGGGCACTCAGGTTTTTTCCAGATTCTGGCTATTGTAAACAGTGCTGCAATGAACAAACAAAGTGCAGATGTCACTTCGACTATGCTTTTTCGCCTCTCCGGGATATATTCCCAGGAGTGGTATTGCTGGGTTAAATGGGGGCTCAATTTCTAATTTTTTGAGAATCATCCGTACTGTTTTCCAAAAGGGCTGAACCAGTCGGCATTCCCACCAGCAGCGAAGGAGGGTCCCTTTCTTGCCACATCGGTGCCAGCACGGTTGCTTTTGTTCTTGTGGATGTGGCCCAGTCTCCTAGGTGTGAGATGGTATCTCATTGTGGTTTTGATCTGCATCTCCCTGATGATTAATGATGTAGAGCATTTTCTCATGTGCCTTTTAGCCATTCGGATTTCTTCTTTGAGAAAGTTTCTGTTCATTTCGTCGCCCCATTTTTGATTGGGTTGGATGTTTTCGTCTTGTGTAGTTCAACCAGTACGTTGAATATCCTTGATATCAACCCCTTGTCGATGTGTATTGGGCGAATATCCTTTCCCATTCTGTAGACTGTCTTTGTATTTTGGTCACTGTTTCTTTGGAGGTGCAGAGAGGCTTCTTAGTTTATGATAGTCCCATTTCTATCTCTTGGAAAACAAAGTTTTTAAGCTACTATTTTTCTTAAGCCAGGAAAATGTTTTAATCAGATTAGTACAGTGACTAAGTTTATTGTACATTATTATTAAATTTATTATTATTTTCAAAGACTAGATTTTTTTTTATGCCTGAAGATTTTGTGTTATGGCTATAATGAGAAAAGTTGCCTAAAGTTTTGATGTAAAAATGTGAGTTGATATTAAAATATTGTACCATGTTAATATGAACCCATTCTGTATACATTATATTACTCTTAACCCGTTTTATATACAAAGAATGTTATATTGTCACAACTTTAGTTACCAGTGAATATTTATACTAAACTGGTTCTTTAATATATCTTCTATTTCACGTTTTAAGAAATGGACAGAGAAATGATTTGCCTGATAGAGAAAAAGGTGGTATTAAAGATTACGTCTTAAAATAGAATCATCTGGTTTTAGTTCTTTTGTCTTTACAGTTCTGGAGGATCTTATGTTGAACTAAATCTAGTATAAAGGCTGAATTGCTTTTTTGGTTTTGGGTTCATTTAGATCTTAAGTATTTAAAAAGAAGAAGATTCTCCTAATGGTATTCTCAACTGGTTGTATTTGTATTTTCCACTAACAACATTCAAGCTCATACTTTATGTTTAAAGCTGCCTTTCTTATGTGTTAGTCTTTAAGTCTGTTATATCCACTTTACAGGTGAAGAGGCAAAAGTATAGAACATTAAAGATCTTGTTAAAAGCTTCAAGGAGCATAAACCAAAACATCTCTGTTCACATTAAATTTGAATGGGCTGGCCAGCCACTCATGCTAGGGGGAAAGGGAGCTCAGATAGAGAAGGGAGCACCAAATAAAGGGTATTGGCAGGATCCTCCCAGGATGGGAGAAGCATGCTGAAAGTAGACTATAGACCGAACATGATCGCCACTCATTGCCTCTTTTGCAAACCACAACACCCAATAAGAGAGAGAGAACAAAAGGGAATGCCCTGCCACAGAGGCAGGGTGGGATGGGCGGGATAGGGGGTGGGAGGGATACTGGGATCCGTGGTGGTGGGAAATGGGCACTGGTGGAGGGACGGGTATTTGATCATTGTATAATTGAAACCCAAGCACAAAAATTTATAAGTCTACAACTGTATCTCATGGTGTCTCACTAATAAAAATTTTTTAAAAAAAGACCTTGTTAAAGGTCTCTTAATGTCATAAGTAGTAAAGTTGGGATGTAAGTAATATCCCTTTCTGTTATGCATTATAGAAAATTCTTATCTCTTTCAGGAATATCTGAGCAAGTTTATTTTCTTCCACCCTCTAATATGTGTTTCTAGTCCTTCCCACCACAATAAATTATCTTTGACTTAGGAAATACTAACTTTCTGAAATGAACCTGACTTTGTGTGGCCTAATTTGATTTCATCATCTCAGTCTGGAATATGCATACCTTAAAGTATGTGCCCTATCACTGAGTCATACCCATAATCCTTTTTGTATCTTTGATTGTGTTGATTAATCTTGACTTTGATTATGGTTTACTTTAAAATCTTTATGACTTAAAGACTTAAAATTTCTTTTTAGATAATGTGTAGAAGCTGTTCATGAGACTTTATTTTTATATTTTTATTTTAGGCACATGATTTATAATACTGTTAATAACAGGGCTCTATGCATACTGTTCCTAACCATACTCTCCACCAGTACTTCCACCCACCCCACCCCTAACCCCAACCTACTCCTGTCAGTGCTGCAGACCACAGACTGTAGTTGTAGTAATATGCAACATTCAGAATAGAATTCAGGTTCTATACCCTTTGGACATTTATCATTTTCTTGCTGTCTTTATAACCCACATGAGGAACTCATACTGTGTCTGTTACTTCTCGTGATTGACTTTACTAGCATGATACGTTCCAGATATATTTATGCAGCATCAAGTTGTGTGGTTTTATCTTTTCTTGTAGCCAAGCTGTATCCCATTATGTCTAGTTTATCTAGTCGTCTGTTCTTGGACACTTAAATTGTTTCCAGATTTTGGTTCTTGTGCTGCGATGGCCTTCAGCCTCTAGAAGTCCAGTGCGCTATCCATTGCGCCACGGAGCCACCTGCTCCACCTGCGATGGCAAAGTAGCACGGCTGTCCTTTCTGAGTAATTTTTTGAGTTGTTGTAGATACTAAGAAATGAACTTGCTGGATCATACAGAAGATTAATTCTTGGTATTTTGAAAAGTGTCTATAAGTTTTTCCCAAAAAGAATAACCCAGTTCACATTCCCACCAGTTCACATTCTCACCTGGTTGTTTTTATCAGTTTCACTAAAACTTCCATTTTAGATTTAGAATCGTTAATAGGAATTTATAGGAATAATAAAAATAAATAACTTAAACTTGCTAAACTTAACTGTAGTGTTGTCTCTATTAAGTAATTCATTATTCTTTTACATAGATTCTAAAATTCACCTCTGAGCTCCCTTTTTCCACTTTAACTTGTTTAGTTGAAACTAATAGAGCTTCAGAAAATTTGGTTATTTTTCTTTCTCTGTTATTTTTAGTTCAAAACATGTTTGTGGAAAAACTTGGTAAAAATATTTTTATGTGAATACTTATTCATAATTTGAATGAAACTTGAAAAAGTAGAGAAAAAAGCTACCAGTGGCCACAGACTGTAGTTGTATTAATATGCAACATTCAGAGTAGAAAAATAGAGATAGAATAAATAGAGATAGAATGTATATTAGCAGTTGCTTATCCCTGGAAAAGGGGAAGTATATAAAAGCTGTAGGATTTCTTTTAATTTGATAGTGTATGGATTTAGATAATGATGGTGGTTGCACAAATTTTGTGAATGTACTGAAAACTGGTAAAAATCTTTTCTCAAGATCTGTGAGAAAATAGAATTTGCGTTTCAGTCACCACTTTTCAACAGTTTTGGAAGCTCTAGCTCAAGCAATTTAGCGAAAAATACAATTTTGAAAATAAAACTGTCACTGTTTATGAGTTACATTATTTTTATGATAATAATTAAACAAGCCAGAGAGAGAGTACTGGTAGGGTGTTTACCTTGCATATAGTTGACCTGGGTTTGATCCCCAGCACCCCATATGGTCCCCTGAGCACCACTGTTTGTGACCCAGAAACAAACAAAAATTTCTAAACATTCCATACCAACGCTACTAGAAATAGGAATGTAGTGAGTGGCGGAATATAAGATCAAAACACCCTGATTGTCTTTGGCATTTCTGTGTACAGTTAATGAACTAGAGGAAAGGAATATTGAGAAATCAGTCCCATTTAAAACTACATCCAAAAAAACTGAAAATAACTTGGAATAACCTAATAAAGGAGATGAAAGACCTATATACTGAAAGTTACTGCATTACTAAAAGAAGTAAAACAAATGTCATAAATGTTATCCCATGTCATAAACTGGCAGAATAAACTTTATTATAAACGTTAATCTAAATAAAAGCAACCTATAGATTCAATACAGTCCCTAGTAAAATAATTGGCATTTTTTGAGGATTCTGTATTTAATATGGAACTCTATACCCAAATAGCCAAAGCAATTCTGAAATAAAAGGAGAAAAATATAATTTGAAGGCTTTCTGCCTTCAAATTGTATTACAAAGAAATAGTGATTGTCTTGATAGCATTGGGACAAATAAAAGCATAAAGACCAGTAGGGTAGAGTTCAAAAAATGAACCCCAGTGCTTGCTTCAGCAGCACATATACTAAAATTGGAACAATACAGAGAAGATTAGCATGGCCCCTGCACAAGGATGACACGCAAATTTGTGAAGCATTCCATATTTAAAAAAAAATGAACCCCATACATTCATGCATGTGAATATCTTGGGATGAAAGAGTGGAGTATATAATGGAAAAATGAGACCCTCATAAACCCATATTGCTGAGAAAACTGGACCCTCCCCCACCAAAAAATCTAAGAAAACAAAGAGAAAGGCACACTCTGTATCAGTAATATCACAGCAAAGAACTCAAACTGGGTTATAGACCTATTAGACCCATAATCAAAAATGCACTTCTGCACCTCAGCTTCAGAAATGTATTTAGATTTGTAGAAATGCTACTCAATTGTAGTAGCACTGGAAACAAATTTGAGAACTAACAAGGGGGACATTATCAAATTAAAAGACTTTTACATAGAAAAAGAAACTAACAAAAGCAAAAGGCAACTTATGAATTGTGAGAGGATATCTGCCCATCAGACATCTGTCATGTAATTAATACCCAAAACATGCAAAGAACTCACACCTAGCAAAATAACACAATAACATAATAAACAGTAAAACATGGGCAGAGGACCTAAATAGGTCCCCTCCCCAAATCAGATACACAGATAGCTCAGAGAAACAAGTGTTTATTATCACATTATAAAGGAAATAAAAGTGAATCAAAATGAACTGTCACCTCACCCTTTGAAAATTTTCTATATCTAAAAGTTTGGAAATCACAAATGTCAGGATGTGCAGAAAAAGTAATTCTGGTACTCTTGTTTTGGGGAATGAAAATTGGTGCCATCTTAAAGAAACCTATGAAAATTCCTTTTGTTAAGAAGTGTATGACCCAGGGGGCCAGAGCGATAGTACAGTAGGTCGGGGGTTTGCCTTACGTGCATCCAACCCAGGTTCTTTCCCCGGCACCCCTATGGTCCCGGAAGCCTGAGCACAGCTGGGCATGTCCCAAAAACCAAAACATAAGTAAAAAGGAACAGAACACAGCATCATGTGTTGTGATAGGGAATGGAGTGAGGGAGTAAGAGAAGGTAGAATCTCTGTTCAATGAAAAAGATCTGGGGCCAGAGAGATGATATAGTGGGTAGAGGTCTAGCCTTCTAGCCAACCCATATGCAGTCTCTAGCATCGCTTTGGTTCTCTGAGCCTGCCAGGAGTGAGCTCTGAGCACAAAGCCCTGAGCATGGCCAGGTGAGGCTCTAATACAAACCAAAAAACCTGGTAGTTTATAAGAATTAACAGTCTTGTTAAGGTAAACATCAAAACCATTTATAGAGACTCTAAACTTTATAGTAACTTCAAAGAAAAATCTTAGTTCCATAAGGGTGAATAAAAGAAGTAGCTGATAATGTATAACCTTTATTACTTACCTTTTATTCTTCCGCATGGTTATTATAATAGCCTGTTTATTTTACCCACTTTTTTTGGCTATCAGAGAAAAATCCAGCCTTGGTGGAGTGTGATTTTATTGATTACTGTGTTGATTGATTTGAGACCTAATCTTTGATTTTTCTTTAAGTGACAACATACTAGTGCTATGACTTACTATTAATTCACAGTTACTTATATTTGTAATTCTGTGGTACTTTCTCTTTTAAAGATACGGACATACTGCAGGAGAAGCTACACACGATGCTGTAGATTCTGCCATCAATGTTGGTTTGACTGCCTATAATATTGAAAACATTGGTATCAAAGCCATGGTGAAGAAAACTGCAAAACAGACAGGACACACAATCCTTGAGGACTATAAGATAGTTGACAGTTCGAAGAAGGGGAATCAAGCAGAAGCAGGTCTCACCAGGATAGAAGAGAAAGATGAAAAGAAAGAGAATCCAGAAGAGGAAGAGACAAAGAAGAAAGAGAAGTGATTGTTGTGTTCTGAATTACCTATACCAAAGCCTTACAAAAGATGAATGCAATTCTGTTAAATAGGCAAATGTGGAATTTCTCACAGAGTGTTGTTACAGTGTTGTTAAATACATTCATTACTACAGAGTGACTATTTCATAAACATCATGGCTTGTAGTCTACTTACTAGGACAAGAATTCATATTCTTGCAACTGACCTTAGGAGATTGTGGTTATATTCTCCATAAATTCATTTTTTTTTCCTAAATGTGACTAAAATGTCGTTGCATTTAAAACAAGACTCATACTACATATACTGTAAACCTCATTAAACCTAATGTTAAAATTATTTTTGTCTTTTCTGTCCCTCAGAAAGTAGGAAAGTACTTTTCAGGAAGTAGTAAGGTAGGAAATTACATATTTACACTGTTTGTCTTTTATTGATCTTAGATCAATTTGTATGAGAAAGGAATGATGTAAAATATTACCTTGTCCTTTTGCACTAATTGTAGATGTTTGAAAAAGTGCCTGTCAAAATTTCCATTGTGTATAAGCTAACAAACACTAAACCTAAATAAAAATTCTCAGTACTTAAAAGACTTCTTCAAAGCAGGGAATTGACTAATCATGAAAAACAAAATTAGGTTCCTTAAAATTATTTGATAATTTACCTTTATTATGAAAGGGGTTGGTTTTGTATTTAAAGGGATACTTTTTTCATCTTCTGGATATAGATGGATGTTGGCTTATTTAAATGAGTAGGAAATTTGGGGATATTCTGTTAAGGTTCAAAGTGATTATCTGTGTAATTGACCAAAAAATTTACATAAGGATTCATTTTACCATATCCCTATATTTTTTCCCCAGATGGCTAAAATTTTATAAAAACTAAAAAACAATTGAATTTATGGATGGTAAATATATTTTAGGATTCTGTCATTAGGATTTTATATGCTACAAAGTGACCTTAGGTTTAATTCATTGTAAGCAAGCCTAAAAGATAGAAAAGATTATATTCACTGACCTATAAGCTAGAAATATATAAACAAATACATGACATTTTATTTTTGTTTCCTGATTTTTTAAAGAATTGATAATTAGTTTTCATAATTATGATCAGTTTTATTTCTGAACCTCTACTGGCTACTTAATTGATTAGACTTTATCTGAAACTACATAAAGAATGTGTATGTGAATAAGCTACATTACTTTTCCTCAAATGTATTCATGAGCTTGTATTTCAGGAACACAGAATTTGTGGAGCCGCCTTCTAAATCCAAAGATAATGTACCAGTATTATAATGAAAATAAAAAAGTCATTTGGTAAACAGCTTTCATTTATTCTTTGACTTGTTTAAGAAAAGGAGGGACTAACTAATCATGACGCTTTAACTTAAGAAACTTATATGGAGGTTAGCAAAACTATTTGTCAGCACGTATCTAGTTAATCATTTGACTCCATTCTGCTTTGCTCACTTGATTGTGGGCTTTCCATTTCAAACTAGCAGGTAGGCAAATGTTAAGTACTGCTTCTCTGTTGATACTCTTCAGGAACACAACCAGTCAGAGAGGAAATTGGTTAACTCTTCAACGGTGCAGCAGACTCACTAACTCTTTGTTCCCCTTAATGTATTTTCATGGGAAAATGCACTTTCGGTACTGTCTGATATTAATACTGCAGGTTTGCATCAACTTCACAGGAAAATCCATGTATTAGTGAAGCAGTAGAGTGCAAACTTGTTCTTCAGGTATCAACTCTATAATGAGAGATTTATAATAAGAAATTGACTCACACTTACGAAGCTAAGAAGTCCCAAGATCTGAGTTGGAGACTCAGGAGAGCTGATAAAACGTATATACACATATGCATACATATACACATACACATCCAAGAGCCAGGAGAGCAATGGCATAAGTTTTGAGATGCCTGCATTCAAATTCAGGAAATAATATGTATTAGTTAAAGAAGTCAAGAAGCTCCCTTTTGCTGTTTGTTTTGGACCCAGACCCCATGGTGCCAAAGGGCTCCTGTTGATGCTCGGGTAATCGCGGGTAAACTGTGCAGTGCCAGGAATCAAACCTGCAGCTCACATACACAAGCATGTGTGCTGCTCTTGGAGCTATCTTCCCCAACCTCTGAATGTCTCTCACTCTCTTCTACCATATCTCATTTCATAATACGATGTCTGTTCGCTCACCATCAGGACAATAATCTGCTTTACTCAATCCTACTGAGTGAAATGTTGACCTCATTTAGAAATTCCCTCACAGACACACCCAAAGTAATATTTGGTCAAATGTCTATTTACCCATTGTCTCCTAGAAGCTGACAGAATTAGTTGTCAACAGTAGCCTTTTTTGTTGTCTAGAGAAGTATATTCAAGCAGTGCTTGAAAAACACTAATCAAAAACACCCATCTGATATGCCCATGAGAATGGCGCATGTTCAAAAGTCTGCTGTAAACAGCAAGTGTTGGTGGGGTTGTGAGAAAGGAACCTTCATCCACTGTTCTTGGGCATGTTGTCTGGTTCAACCTTTATAAAAGAAATATGGAGGTTTTCTAAAAAAAAAAAAAGGAATAGAACTCTCACGTAACCCAGTGATACCATTTTGGCATTTACCCCCCCAACAAACAGTAAATTGAAAAGACGTGCACACCTTTGTTCATTGCCACTCTTAGTACAGTAGCCAAGAAGTGGAAAGAATCCAAAAATGACCCACTACAGACAAATGGATCAAGAAGTCGTGGTATATAATCACAATGGAGTGCTATGCTAAGGAAGAACAAAATCATGCAATTTCTAGCAACAAGGATAAAACTAGAGGGATTATGCTGAGTGAAAAGATTGATACTGAATGATCTCTCAATTGTGAGACTTAAAGATGCACAGTAAGATTGCGACAAGGATCCAAAGGCAACGTAACAGGAGAACATACACACTATTGAGTTGTGGGGAGGGATTTTGGGATCCCTAGGAGAGAGAGGAGGTATACCTGTGATAGTTGTCGTGTTGGAATTATGTGCATGAGAAACATTAATAGTATTGTTAAGTATTGTTAATCTCAGTAAAATTAAAAGAAAAAGTAAGCTTCCACGGTAGGAAGTTTGCCACAAGTGTGTGTGGTGAGGTGAGGGAGTGCATGCAGTTAGGCTAGACAAAGGACCACTATTAAGTGATAGTTGGAAATGATTGTTCTGGACAAGAACTGAGTTGTAAAAGGGGGTAAAGTGATAGCCTGAAAAAGTGAAGGTAAGGGTCTGCTGGTGCGGGGAGGTGGGAGGCAGTGTCTGCTGGAGGGAAACTGGGGACATGGGTGGTGGGAAATAGACACTGGAAGGGATGGGTATTGGGACATTGTAACTGAAACCCAATCATGAACAATTTTGTAACTCGTGGTTCAACTAAAAAATTGTCTTTAAGGGAAAAAAATTTTAAAAAACTGATTTGAGGGCCTTCACTACCTCTTGAGACTCAACAGAATATATGAAAAACAACAGTTCTTAATATTTACTGCTCCTAGAGGGTTTTTTCCTCCATAGTAGTAGCTACTGCCTCTCCAGTAGAGGTTCCCACATTTATTCGGCCTACCATCCTCTTTTCAGGGAAAAAAGGTTCACTTAGCAACTTGACCTACTACCCCTATTCAGAGAAGAAAGTTCACTTAACAACTCCCTATATATTTATTTTCTTTATAACAACAAACACAACTTTCCCTGGGAGTAGGATTGCCCCTTGGAGAACACTCCAGATCCTGTCCATAATGTAATGGATCATTTTCTAGGAACCCCCCTAAGGAAAAATTGGCCATAGAAATAATAACAGCTAATTTTTATACAGTGCTTACTCGATGAACTAGTAACATTCTACAGTCTTTTGATCATATTAACAAATTTTAAACACAACTTTTCTATGACGTGTATGTGACAACTCCCATTTTACAGATGAGATGACTGAGGTGTAGAGCAGTCTTTCCCAACAGGGGAAGATGTTTCATATCCTGTCACGCTAGTGGAAATGATCAAAGCATGTGTACAAACTTGGGGCAGTTTGTGGCAAGCAGCATTTCTTTATAGAATCACATCCACGGGACTTTTTTTTTTCTTATTTCAGTCTTGCTCCGTGCATGTGTTGAAATACACTTATAAAGAGAATGTAATTAACTTTCCCAAGACTAAAAAGAACAAAACAAAAGAAAGGCTCTATGCTACTCAAAAAGAGAGGAATCTACGCACAGATATTGGCTAGGCCAGATCTTTTTTCCTAAAGGAAAGGAAATACAGGTAGATTTTTAGAGATTTTCTCTGATTCTGGCTGTGTAACACAATATATAGATTTTTTTTTATTATTGTGCCATTTGATGGTAGAAAATTTCCCAAGGTACTTGTCAGTGTATCATCAATCCAAGATTTCTGTATTAGTGTGAACTCTTTTATCTTCATAGGTATTTTATGGTAAACTAAGAAAATCCAGACTTAGGACTTATTAGCCAAGAAATTACTTTATAATCTACTTTCCAGGTCTTATTTTCAATTTTTATTTATTTTTTAATTGAATCAGTGAGATATGCAGACACAAAGTTTTTCGTGGTTGGATTTGTCATACAATGTCCAACACCAGTATACACTGCCCACCATCAATGCGCCCCCCACCTCTATGGCAGGCACTTCTCTGTCTCTGTCTCTGTCTCTCTCTCCCCCACCCCCTCTTTGAGCAATACGGTTTACAATATCCCTTTTCCTGATTTCAACACTCAGTTCTTGTCCAAAGTGATCATTTCCAACTGTTACTGCCATTGCTCTCTGTTCTATTCTTGTCAGACTCAATACTGTTTTTAAACACTTCCTAATCATTTTTTCTATTTTGTATTATTGCTATAACAAATAGAAAATATCAATTTCTTGAATAGTGTGTTTTTCTTGATTTTTTCTATTCACTTATTAAAAATCCATTAAGATAATTTTTTTATTTATTTATTGAATCACTGTGGGAAAGGTTACAAAGCTTTCAGGTTTAGGTCTCAGTCATGCAAATATCAAACACATTTCCCTTTACCAATACTTATTTTTTACCATGAAGAACCTCAATAAAACCCCACCCCCCACCCCTCCCAGTCCCTGTGAGGCAGATGAATTCTAGTTAACACTCTATCTGCTTTGATTAGATTCACTGTTTCAATAAAAGATTCACCACTATTATTTAGAGTTTACCCCCCCCCAAATCAGACATGCTGAAAAAGTATTATGAAGTGATTTGCTTTCTACAGCTGGGTTCAAGAATTAAATGTTGGTTTTGGATTTCTGCTATTTTACCTATTGACCCTGGAAGTATTTCTACTGAAAGTCAGATAGTTAAGAAATTGGTTTCTGTGTTCTGGAGTTGTGGCCGTGCTGGAGAGCCGCTCGTGGGGGGCAACTGGTGGCCTCAGTAGGGCGTGAAGGACGGACCGGAACGCCCCCCTTCCCATGAGGTTTTAGTCGCCCCCACACCCCCAGCTCATACCTGTTGTCCACAAGGCTCCCATGCGGCCGCCATCTTTCTTTCCAGAGAAGAGAGGGCGAATGGGACAACACCCTTTCCCCTCTGGGCAGACATGATGGCCTGGATTAACGCATAGTCCGTTCACTTTTCTGCTCCAAGCTGCTGGGTTCTGCATTAAGTCCTTGTGTTTCTGGGGCTGTGGCCGTGCTCCAAACTTAACTCTGATTTTCAGGGAGAAAGGTTGGGTGGTTTACTTCCCATTGATCACTTTGTATATAGAGAGATGTCGCGCGGCTGAAGCGGCCGCGCGGTTTTGAGAAAAAGTCCCAGTTCCTGCATACTCAAGCTGTGCTTGTAGAGGCTTCTAGTCACCGGGGTTCCATCTGGGGGAGGCGGGATGAGGTACCTACCCCATCTGGGACTTCCCGGTGATCTCGGCTCTTTTTGGAACCTGTTTTTTTTTTCCTCCAGGATCTGTGGTTCCCGCCCTCCATGTGGTCCTTCTCTTGGGCTGTATGTTGCAAAGATGGCGCTGGGGGGTGGGCTGTGGGCGTGACTTCCGGAATCAGAGGTTACCTGGGAGCTGTAGTCCCGGCAGATTTGAGAAAAAGTCCCAGTTCCCGCATACACGAGCTGTGCTTGTAGAGGCTTCTGGTCACCGGGGTTCCATCTGGGGGAGGCGGGATGCGGTACCTACCCCATCTGGGACTTCCCGGTGATCTCGGCTCTTTTTGGAACCTGTTTTTTTTTTTTCCTCCGGGATCTGTGGTTCCCGCCCTCCATGTGGTCCTTCTCTTGGGCTCTAAGATAATTTTATAAAAACTTAAATAAGATGAAAAAAACACCC